AACCAAGAAAATGGCACCTGAGAAACCGTATTGACTGAGCTTCTCCATTCGAAGTCAGGGAATTTGAAGGAAGCGATGTGCTTGCGAAGTCACAAGAATAGTTCCTTTGCGGATTGAAACCAATCCCCACTAAGATTACATCAAAAGAATTGGAAGCAAAAGTTGTATTTGGAAATGTTGGCAGCACAGATTCCCAGCTTTCCATGAATTCGAATGTCTGATTCTTTGAATCAAAGACAGGTACAACTTGCCTGACAATGTTTTGTGCTCCATCGCTTCCAACAATACACAAGTAAACCAAACAAGATTCGGCCGGAAATGGCCACATCGGTATTGCAAAGACTAGTTCACGACGGCTCCAAGATATGGGTGGCTTGCTTATTACAGAGCCTTCACTTCCTACAAAGAGACACCTGTAATTCTGAAAGGGATCGAGAAAGCCCTCACCTCGTATTGTCAATGGAAGAGAGCCGTACCCAATAGGTGCAGCGAGAGGATCAAGTAGAAACCAGGTGTGCACTAGCGTTGCAGCCATCATGGCAGAAGACTGCAATTGACCAACAGTGACAGAGTACGAAATCAACTGAGCTTGACTCTGCAGCAAAAGAGCCGGCAAGACACAAATTATGTCTTCATTCGATCTCCATTGGGTTTCTGAGCAATCCATCCCATCCAATTGAACTTGTTGTTTCATTCTTCTGTGTCCAAAATTCTTTCCTCTGATGAAAACTGCGAAATGCATTTGTAAGTTCTCTGAGGGCGAGATAGCTTCAATCTTGGGGTGTTTGTCTTCGTTCACACCTGCAAAAATTACATTCTTGTCGAAAGCGAAAGAGCGATCAACAGTCTGATTGGTATCGATTGAAAATTCAAGTAATTTGCCATTGGACTGCACTACTAGGATTACATTCCTCTGCAAATCGATACAGAAGTGACCACCGTGTGAAATCCATGAGGTTTGAAGTGAAGTAATCCGAGACGTCATGGTATGAAACGGAAACGATATGTAAGTGAGACTCACAAAATCGTCAACTTCTGGCCATGAACTCTCTAGAAGAATCAATCTGCATGATTCATCATCATACTTGACTCCAACAATCTTTTTTCCAACTTGTGGATGGTAGTCGAGGATTTCAGTAGTATTTGATTCAACATGGAAGCATAAAATGCTTTCGTCGGTCTGAATGAGAAAATAAATTCCTAGCCCACTGCTGAAGGCACACACATGTAGACGCACCGAATTTTCCAACTTTCGCATCATTGAAGACTCCCCCGAGCTCACATTGAACACGACGATGCTCTGACCAGACTCTCGCACATCGATTGCAACAAGAGCGCTCCGTGCGTCATCGAATTGCACATTTCTTATATTCGATTTGCTGCTTATATCTAGATCTTGGGAACCAAAAGAGCCAGACTCTAGATCTACATGTAAAATTGACCATCGTCCGCTGTTACCTTCAACATTCAAAACTGCATACATGGACTTTGTGAAACTGTCAATAGTTATAGAGCTCTCAAAAACTTGATCACACCAAACTTCAATTGCGATTTCTTTGAATTGCAGGTGATCATTCTCCTTATAAATGCGCAGTCTCTGACTATTCCATGCTGCTACGATTGCGAAGGGGGACGAGAGCTGATTGTCACCATAAACATTCAATGTGTTTGAAGGTAACGAAGATAAGACCTGTGTTCCTATCTTAAAGCCCACTCGAAACAAGAAGCTGCTAGCATTGCTCGCAGCATTCCAAAACCCAGAAAGCAAATCCTTCCTCGAAATTGCAACAAAATCATCAGTTTTTTTCAGGAATGGTTCTGGTACGGTGTAAAACTGCAAGAGAGCACTGTTGCTCACTTGAATTTCATATGACTCGCTTCTGGATAAATTGATACCTGAGAATCGAATATTGATCAAAGTTTGCGATGAACATTGACTTTCTGTTAATGTCACGTTTGGAGGCTGGAAGAGGATCTGCCAGGTCAGCCTAGGCAACAATTTTACGAGGAAGCAAAGAGGAGCACTTTTGCAGTTCTCACAGCCGCCATAGTCAAGAGCAAAGGTTACAAAACACCTCAAGAATTCTTCTTCATGAGCAACTATATGTGAGCTTGAGGTTTTGAAATTGTAAATACAAAATAAAGTCCCTTGTCCCACACACCTCGTCCCATTGGGTTGAATAATTATGCTATGTTCCGCAGAGCTGGAACCAATGACCGATTCGATAGATATATCACGAGGCGTCAAACTCGACGCCCATGGTTGCGGGTCACGCGCATACAAAAGAATTTCACAATTTTCTGAATAATAACAAACTTGAAAAGTGTTCGTTGGCAAAGAAGTAGAATCCAATCCTTGGATGAAGTAAGGAGTGTCATGACGGAAGGAATGTATTACTGACATGACAATGAAGGAAGTTGTCGGATTGGAACTCAGTTGATCATTACTGATAGACCCAGAATAGCTGATTAACAGAGCTTTTTGTTGAAGAAGATAATCGGGGCAAGTTTGCACTGTACCTTGCCGGGAAACATTCACGAAGTGTAAGTCGTAGATCAGACAGGTGGATTCATATATGATATTCACATCGCTTCGCTCTCCGACAAAGGAAAAATCACTTTGAAAGGAAATCTTGCCTGACCAGGCTTGTTGTGAGTCAATGCCATTTGTGCTGGAGGTGGTTTGGGAATAAATAAGAGGCAGCTCGAAAAGTGGAGATGGAGAAGAGTAGGAAGTAAAATTGCAAGATTCGTTGTGCAAAGATGTTTCTTTGCATAATTTGACAAACGATGATGTAGTTGGATTCACGGTCCTATCACTCGAAAAAATCTCATTCCAGAATGGACAGATTTCTGGAAACAAGGAGCAATGAGATTGCTTTGAAGCAAACCCACTCTGATTGCTTGATCCAGCAAATTCGGTGATGGGAATCCAGGCAAGCAATCCATCAACCTCCGGAAGAACCTCAACCTCATGTTCTAGAACTCCGTAAGTAGCATTCACGTGTTGTAAGTACCCACTTTCATTTGCGGTAGCAATCAAGAAATTTTCGATCACTTTGAATTGATTGACCTTTCCGACGATTCGACTGGATAAGGCAACATATTGCCCTCCTAAGTCTTTTGCAGACACGGTCAGATCACTCAAACACTTTGACCCATCACTCGACATATAGTGAAATTGCGGAATACCATCGTTCAACTTGATCTGACCAATGCAGAGAATACCGAAGAGTGAAGCTATTGTTGAAAGACTAGTCGCATCGTTCTGTGGGCAATTCACTTCTTGACCCAACTTGTAATCACATGCAGGGTGCATGACATGAGAACTATGAAGTTCGAACTTAACGGTTCGGTTTCCACGAACAAAATCCGGATTCACATACCATCTCAGTGAAATGCCGATGATAGGTGTTGAGATTTCTGTATAATTTGCGAGAACATTGCCCCCGAAGGGTAGAATACTGAAAATGAACGCAAAAAAACTTAGCTTTGATATCATTCTGAATTACTTCAATTGGCGATCGATTTCAGTTTCACACGGAATCCCTTATTGTGAATACCTCAAAGAAGTACTTGAAGAGAGTTCTCACATCAAGTAGCTTGCCATTCCTGTCTGTCATTCAGACTGCTTGCAGGCTACACCTTGGCTCCACCTCGCCAAATCTATTCCCTCCTGCTTTCCCCTTCCTTTGCCTGCTGCTTCATCACCATCCCGCCGCTTGAGGTTTTCGTCTTCAATGACCCCTCTCTATATCAGTACCCCATGTCCACCACCCCACGCAATGTTTCCTTGACACAACGATGGTAAATGATAACCCCGTCATACTCAAGTAAATGATGTGAAATTATGTGGTAGGGTCATTACCCCACCCTATTATATTCACTACCCACAAGAAAATCCTTCGGAGCAGGAGCTTGTCATGTGTCACAGTGTCTCTCCACGATGGATGGGTAAAGATTACTCCGCCTCAGAGCGATGACTACCTTGATGTGAAAGGCAGGACGTGACTCACGATCACTCAATCCGGCACTGTACGGTACGAGCGGCGGCCCGTCCTACTAGCGGCCGCCGGTTCACTCACTGCCGAGCCTCCGTCACTCGCGGCCGCCGCACTTGCCGCCTGGCCCAACGCGATGACGGACCGTGCCATCGAGTCGGAACTCGGATCATGTCACAGTGTCATGATAGGCTCAGGTTTCAAGCCTAGTTTAGCAGTGACGGTCGGACGGTTCAACTCATTTGTCGGCCGGCATTGCCCCGGGGCCCGCGTTAACCGTTGAAACGGCGTGCGGTCGGGGCTCAGTCAAGTCCGACGGTCCTACCGTACAGGTACTTAAGTTGCACGGCTGACACGGTGCTGGGCGCGGCGCTGACCGGATTCGGAAGTCACACGAGTCGAGCCGCCCGGCCACCGTGGCACTCGTCCGGGGCCCGGGCCGGGGCCCGGCGGCCGGCGGGGCCGCGGGGCCGCTTGACTGAGCGGCGGACTCTCAGGACTCTGGAACCCGCCGGCTCATTTGTCCCGTGTTAGGGCCATGGCAAGTTTGTCAGACGGTCTGTTGCCTGGTAGGCAGCGCAGTTGAAAGTTGGGCGACTAGATGCAAGCTTGCCAGTTGCCATGCCGCACTCACCGTCATGGACTTGTCGCTGTTAAGCTCTTCTCAATGGCCGTGAATCATGCTTGAAAGCTGTTTATCAGTGTGAACACTTTCAAGTGCTGAAGAAATGTCTAATCCTAGCAGCATCGCACGTCCTGTTCAGCGAGCCTGGCAACAAGATGAGTACATGGAATTTTGTGAAGAAGCAGAGCCGATTCTCCCAGGAGCGATCAGAGTGCAGCCATTAGATGCACCTTACACGTGTGGCAACTTTCTTATACCTGTCAAGGCTCTTGAAGAAGCTCCAGATGGTTTCCGGTGAGCGAAGTATCGATGTTGGTGCATTCGTGATAGTGTGTTGCAGTCGGCTGGATTGGTCGGGAAGGGGGATGAACTTCATGCCTCAGATTCCTCCTGAATACAAGAATGCACAGAATGTTTTGTTGAATGACAACAAGCTAACAGCGTTTCCACAAGAGCTGAATCAGTTGGGGATTCTCCAAAGCTTGCGAATCGACTCGAATTCAATCACGAATGTGCCTTCGTATGTTGCTCACTTTCCAATGTTGAAGCATCTTCGTGCTCATGACAACACGATCTCATCGCTCTCTTCTAACATAGGGCAGTGCAAGCACCTGCTATCGCTGGATCTACAAAGGAACCAATTATCATCGATTCCGTTGTCACTTGCTGCCTGCACTGGACTAACAAAGCTTTGGCTCAGCGAGAATCGAATCGAACAAATTCCATATACTTTTTCACACTTGCAAAACCTCAAATCATTTAGGATAGACAAAAATCGATTGAAAGAGATCGAACCAGGGATCACAAAAATGAAAGCCCTAGTGCAGTTTAGGGCGAGCCATAATCAGATCAAAGAGATCCCTGTTGATTTCGGAAACGCTTCACAATTGACAGAATTATCCTTGAACCACAACTCTATCGAAGCTCTACCTCCCTCACTTTGTAAATTGAACTTGAAAATATTGAGACTCGACCAGAATCCTTTGAAAAGGCCCCCAATCAATGTGGTAATCCGTGGTATCCAACGTACTTACGACTATCTGAACCGTCTTGAGCATGCTTTGGTTTCGTGGGATCTAGACTTGCACAGGTTTGACATGCATCAAGTACCTTTTCCTTCTGCAACTTCCCAACAAACTTCCGAAAATTGGGAATTTGATATGTGGTGTCGTATCAGATACATGGTGCTTGCAGAGAATAGACTGCAAAGCTTTCCGATGGAACTTGGACTCATGACAAATCTTACAATTCTAGATGTTCGTCAAAATCGAATCTCTGCTGTTCCTCCAGCAGTTGGTTCTTTGCGAAACCTTCAAATTTTTGATGCATCCCAGAATTTTATTCAAACATTGCCCACGCAGATGAAGCAAAATGTCGTATTACAGGAACTACTCTTAGAAAGTAACAGATTGTCAGTTGTACCCGATGTTGTGGCAGAGTTACAACATCTAAAAGAGCTGAGACTTTCAAATAATCAAATATTGACTCTTCCGGACTTGTCAAATTCAGCAGGAAAATTGGAAATACTTTTCTTGGATCATAACAATTTGAGGAGCCTTGCCCATGATCTATTTGTACTGACACGATTGAAAATATTGAAGTTGAACAATAACTCGTTGCTTGAAATTCCAAGTGACTTATTCAAAATACGTGGTCTAGGTCTGAGTATATTTTGTATCAATCATTGCAGGACAATGAAATCTTATTTGCAGATCATCCTGTAAATTCGAATCCAGCTGAAGAAGGAAAAATGATTTTGGGCTCTATCATTGATCCTGCGGTGAGAGCTTTGTATCTAGCTTTATGAAGGATAACATGGCTAAGCAGATAAGAAGAAACAGAATCCATAACATTTTGAATGGGATAAGACTATCTTCATACCGCGAGATATCCAAGATTCCTTTAGATCAAAGGGAATACAGCAAACCACAAGGTGATTTCACTGTCCATTTCAATCATTTTCTATGTTTGGTCATTTGTTGACAAGGCTCTGGGACGAAGAAACGATGGGACTTGGTCAGATTTGCTCTGTTCGGCAACGATGGGCCGCGCATAAAGTCGAAGCCTCGGATGAAGGGCGTCAAGCCAAGTGCTGAGACACTGTGATTGTCATAGTCTTACACTTGGACAGATCTACCGAAAGGCAAAGCAGAAAAAGAAGAAGGCATGCCTGAGACACATGTTCAGGTGTTGTGAATTGATTGCCATTGTATCTGACTCTTGGATCAGCCGACAAAGAAGGGATTCGTTCAGAGGTTAAGAGAACTTTTCCGGTCTCAGAAGACAGAAGTCTTAGTTGAAGAAGATATGAATGTGATTTTTTTGTCAAACTTGGAAATGAATAGAAATTGAGGCAAAGAACAGGATGCAGAAGGCCGAATGCAAGATGATGCATCTGCTGGGGCACCTAGCGATGCAGCATCGTCAAAAGATGAACAGAATTCTCCGAGGGTTGCAGAGGAACAGAAGACAGGACCTACAATTTTTAGCAACTTGATAAATCAATTTTCTGCAGTTGTAAGGATTGTGGGGGTCCAAAATCGTTGAATCACATCTTTATTGCAGGTATCAAGATTTGGGACAAAAACCCAGGACGACGATGAGGAAGAAAATGTTTTGAGTGATGATTATGGGGCTTATTGGCAGGAGATCCAAGAGATTGATTTAAGGTTCAATTCGCTGTATTCTGCTGTGCTTCTTAGGCAATCTGCAGTTACAACAGGCTTGAAAATATTCCGGCACAAATTGCTAACATCAGCTCACTCACAAGTTTGAAAATTCACGGAAACAATATAGACCAGCTGCCCAGAAGCATTGGACAACTGGTATTCTGTAGCTTGGTTCAATTGTTTGCAAAGTTTTATTCTATACAGGAAATGATGAAGTATTTGAATTTGTCTTCGAATGTATTTTATAAGGTGCCTCGTGAGCTCGGTTTGCTTTTGCAAATGGAAAAGCTAGACCTATGCAATCAGGTATTTTCTGAAGAATAACATCTGCCTCTCGTAACGAGTCGTAGGGGGGGGGTGAGCTGCTTGACGATCTCCCAATCGAACTGAGAAAGCTAGAGCGATTGGAAGAGTTGAGGCTGAGTAGAAACAAGTTCGAGTATCTTCCTCAATGCATCCTCCCAGCCCGTATATCTTGTTTGACAATCAATTATCTATTTTACTGATTTGCGTCTTGCTGACTATCCCTCAGTCGAAGGGTCTAAAATCAAGGAGCCTGGAATGACAAGTCTACGGATCTTGGCTGTAATATTCCATTCTTCAAAATGAGGTGTTTGTGACTCATTTGGCAAAAATTAGTTGGACAACAATCCATTGCGTGGTCTCGATGAAGATCTGGCTTTCTGCTCAAAATTGGAGAAATTGTTACTTCACAGCACTAATGTGAAACGTCTGAATCAATCAATCTCGTTAGTCTCTTTGCTCGAATAGCCTTCAGCTCAATGGTATGAGAACAGATACATGTACCACTTGCAGGAAATTTGGATAGCTGATACTTATATTCGCAAGATCGATCCAGGCATTCTTCTTTGCCATTCCCATTGGGCGCTAAATCTTTCGTGATACAGCCATTGCAGCATTACCCCATCTGAAGAAGATCATTCTTTCGAACGAAGATCAAATCGATGACTTTGCTGGTCTTCCTGATACTTGCATGCTTGACTCGATCTCAACGTTGCAAACAGATATTCGACGGTCCATGAAAGCAGAAAAATGGTCTTTTCTCAGCGTTGGCGAAGGGGATGTTGCCATGATTGCAGGTGCATTGATGACGATCTTTCGAACAATTCTAACACATACAGGAATGAAACGGATAAAGAGAATGAAAGAGAAAGAAGCGGCTGCGGCAGTTCTATCAAATGAGCAATCCAAATTGAAAAAGGCGCAAAAGTCTGGCCGGTAAATGCGATGTGATCTCAGACATCAAAGATAAGAACATTGCAGATCTCTATCGTATGACAAACATGCGATGGTAAAAATTGAAACAGTGAAAAATACGAGTACTGACGACCGGCAATGCAGGATTCAGCCTCAAAGACCAAAAAGTGATGACTTGATCTTTGGATCTTCTTTTTTATTTGTGTTCTGTTTCGGAATACTTACTTTCGCTTTACAGTTCTGTCGTAACGTTTGAATTGGAATGACGGCAATGAATTCATGTGAAAAGGTTTGCTGTTCGATAGTTTCAAGAATCATACAAAAGGTGCAGTTACTTATAAGAATTCCAAATTATATTGGGTTTTCAAGCTCTTCTTGAAGCTGAAGCTCAACAGAACTTTCGTCATCTTCGTTATGGACCTGTACAACAGTCATGATTTCGCATTTCCAGTCCAAACCGCAGCTTGTACCATCAAATAAGGATTGTCAAAATCCGGTCTAAATTTGTATCCGACGAGCATGTAGAATATAAGAGAAGCTGTCTCCGAGATAGCGCTGTAATGTCTTATGGAACACACAACCCTTACCATGTAACTTTACCTGGCCACCCACGATAGCTCACAAGGGAGAGTTGCCTTGACCAGGTAAATAATCTGAGGTACAGTCAGTTAGTGTACATTTCCCAAAGCAAAATTCTCAATCATATAAATTATTACGATTCGTGAGAAATAAATGTAGCAAACCACTAGAACGTAGAATTCACGGAACATCTATAAAAGCAAAAAAATTAGGAATAATATGACCATTCAACTTTAATCCACCTTTAATTTTGCCAGTATCCTCTTAGCCTTCCCATCAGCTTCGGCAGCATCTCTGTACATGTATTTTCAGTAATCGTCTCATATTCATGAACATGATCAAACCTCAAGTGTTTGATGGACCATACTATGGGAAATAAGATAGCACAACAGCAGACCACTGCTCATTTTTCAAACAATTATAAACATTTCTACAAGTATTCAATTGCTCACCATCAAAAAAATGAAGAATATCTCTCCAAGTCATCCAACCAGCAGTACCCGGAGGCGTTTCATCAACGACCACCATTGCAACGTTAACCAAAACCTGCATAGGCAGAACAATCAAGATAATCCTTTTTTCTCTATCAGCCAGAAAGGGCTTCATGATAGACCAGCCAGTGCCAATCAGGAGAATGACAGCAAACAGCATGGTACCCTTCACAAACGTAAGGATGTGAAAAAGTGTTGCCCAGGCATATCCATCTCCAAACGATTTGAGTGATTGATACCGAAAGGCTTCAAATCCCACAGATGCAGCTTTGAAAAAACATAAAAGACCCATTAGATACTGAATCTTATGGATTGGAGAACTGCTGGTCCTCAGCATATAAACCCAATACACAAAAGCGAACAAGAACAACAAGCTTGCACCAGCATAAACAAGCGGAAGAGGCACTTCTCCTTCAGAAATGAAAATGCCGTCTTTGTTCATAAGCACGTAGTGGATTTGAAACGAAGCTTTGGAACCATAATTGCAGTTGGAATATAGTATAGAGTACAGTCCCTTGCCATTTGCAGCAATCTGATGTGTGTATGTTGTGTTTGGACCCGCGATCGGGATTATGACGTCATTAGGCTTCTTGGTGTTCAGCATACAGCCAGCTTCATTTACATCCATCATACTGGAAACGGAATATGCTGGGCCTTCTGTTTTGCGAATAAGAAGACCAACATTGGATGGTGTCAACCTCTTTCCATCTCTGGTCATCCGAAAATCAGATATTTGAATATTCATGCTTCCTCCCTGTCCGAAGCAGAAAGGCTCCACGAGGAAAGCAGAGCGATCATCGCTCTGCACAGTCAGGGTTGAAGCTCGTGCTCGTGCTTGACCTGCTGTCGCCGCCACCGCTAATGCTATCAGCGCCCACGACGACACCATGTCCAGGAGCAGGTGGAAGAGCTCTACCTTATCAGGAAGTCTGCCTCAGGACGTTTTTACGCTAAAAGTTAACTAAACTACAAGGCGAGGCGAAGTGAAACAATGGCGTCCTAAGGGGAGCACTGGATGTTGAGCTGGACATTGATGATGAACACGTCGCCTTGTCACGGATGGATTTTGGTCTTGCTTCCTCACTTGCTTCTTGTCTGCTCGCTTGACCATCATGTATCGTGCATGCAATCTCTTCCGCAAGACGCCATCGTATCTCAAAATAGGGAACGAGCCAGGATTTCGATGGAAGTCAATAGGCATCAGCAAAGCAGAGATGTAGCCACGATTCAAGCACACTATCTTCGGTCAGGCTTGTGATCTGAATGTGGCCTGTTTGCCGTTGCATGACAGTTTTCAGTGATGTGTATTCACTGTTCCGGAAGAACTCAAGAGACGTAAAGAATGTGTGTGAAGAACAGTCACAAGAACGAGGAGGTAGTGCAAATTATGGTTGTAATTGATAATTGAGATTGCTGCTGCCAGGTTGCGGAGGAGTGTGGTACAAACCAAAACATCCAGTCATAGTCCAATTCAACATGCTGGTTGGAACTGACATGAATCCCCAGATGCAGCAAGCTTTTGACCTGCATACAAGACGCTACGAGGTATGCTTTTGCGGGAATGAATCTTTGTGTTCATCACAGATGTATATTTCTCCTGATAGGAACGTGGATTTCCTGACTACGATAGTGAGTACGATGAGATCCCACAAGCGCAGATCAAGTAACAACAATCTTGAAGACAACTTGTTTTTCTTTATCAATGACTCTAGTGCAGAATGATCGAGCAAATAGTTTCTGATTTGAAAGGGACCATAAAAAAATCTGATTCAATGCGAGGTAATTGAGCATGCATCACTGTCTCATATGCTTTCTGCTGCAGTTGAAAACAGAGAAAGCATCGTGAGCAAGTAACTTTGCAAATCACTTTGGAGAAGGATACAAGAATGAGATGGATTTCTGCCTGAAAGAATGATTTGCTTTGGTTGTAGGATCAGCATACATGTGAATTGAAGGTTGAAATGCAGAATGAACGTAAATGTTTGGCGTCTGATTTAGGCTTCATGGCTTCTCCTGAGTGGCTTGATTCACCAGGACCTGAGAGTTTTGCGCATCGAGAGCAAGCAGCAAATGCACCTTGAAACATCCCATAATTTCCACACCTTGGTCATTGGTCTTTGCCTTTATGAATAACTAAGTGTGCACTGAATAGATACTGCACCAAGTGAGCTTTCAGATCAGAGGAGAGCATTTCCACTTTGGTCTCTTACGCTTCAAGTGAAACGCAACAAATTCCTGACAAATATTTTCACTTTTTACCGACATCGAGTGATGAGCTTACATCTGATGGTTGAATTTCACGGACATAAACTTCCATATTACCTTGAATCAAACATGTCAGCATCACCGTGTCACTTGTTTAGCAATGTAGCAGTTCAATGTAGCAGTTATTCTTGCTTACAATATCTGGTCCTGATGATTCCTGTCTTCCCACGACCTTTAAATTCGATCCTCTTTTCAGTGTGAGTATCAGTTCTAGCAGAATACTCAGTCGCACAATCAGACCTTCTTGATTTCAGATCGCCCAATCTTAATCTCGTCTACTAAAAGATTGTCCGGATCCATACCTGCAGGGATATTCAAAAACACACAGTTCAATTCTTCACAAATCAACATTGAGAAACGGGATTCAACGATGTGCACAAGTTCACCATACCGTGAATATTTGCAGCATTGAATTTGGCATCATGAATACAACGGCGAACTTTATCTGCTACCCTCTTGCGTGTCAAAGAAAGTTGCATGAGTGCTGCATCCACCCTTGCCCTGCGTACAAGTTTGCACACCAAGTTGAGCTTTTTCATTGATGTGCGGAATCGCTTCAGGACAGCTCTTGCACGTGGAAAATCGTGGTGCTCTGCATTGTGTCTTGAATTAGGCTTCTTCTCTACCAACGGAGTTGTCATTCCTACTGGCTCGGTTGAAGCTACCACGGCATCCGTAGCAAGCAATCGTTTATGGACGATATTGGGCGTGCATACCCAAAGTCCCGATAGTTGCCTGTCAAGTGAGCTAACACTCGGTAAGGATCCTTCTCCCACTCGAGTCACTGCACTTGCATTTGCACGAGGGAAGAAGTGTGAACTGGTGGGCGAAAGTCGCATCTTCACAGGTCTCACAAGAGACGAGAGGAGATGATTTGAAAAGAAAGAGAGATTATGAGGAGCTTGTGGTGGTCTCTTTCCCAGCATCCTCCAAGTCCCTAACTTCATTGGCTGTATCACCGCACGCGCGCTCCGCATGGCGCCCACCGCGGCTGAAACCGTTACAATCAGGTTTGTAACCGTTCAAGCAGACTTTCAAGCACGGCTAGCGACTTAAAACTTTGAGTAAAGCTAGCGGCCGTCCGGCGACCATACGGTCCGATCACCCGGCACTTAAGCCAGTGCGGCCCGGGCCCCGGGGCGCCCGGGGGCTGCTAGCCTCAGGGCAACAGCGGTCGGTAACCATTATGCCATTCCAGGCCCGGGCCTGCCCAGTTCCGGGGCCCGGGCCGTCAACGGTAACTTTGAGCAAAGAACTTCGAACGGTCACCGTCACCGTGCCGTGCGTGACCGTCACGGCGGTGGCACCCGGAGTTAAAATCAGTACGAGGACAATCAGGAGAGGCGAGGAGGCTTGACCCTGACCCAACTGTCGCACAGGCCAAACGGCGAGAAGAGAAAAGACAGCGAGAACCAAACCCAATCCTGCCGACTGCTGTCCCCCAAACTTAACTGATACCTTCACTTAACGGAGTCAGTGAGGCCCGCGGCCGCGGCTCTGAAAGCGGTGACCCCGCGCCGGGCAGCCTGCTGATGCCGGCCACAGCATTCCGTTGTACTACGGCGTTCGAAGAAACTATTTGCTATTTACTATTTCGATCAAGTTCTTACAAAACCCTTTGTTGCCAACAATCTTCAAGACTCCGCGCCAAACACGATGCAGCAACATCCAAGGAGCTGCAAAAGTTCAAAATCTGACATACAAGGAGTTACAAGATGTTCAAAAGGCGATATGATGATATAGTACAATGCAAAGAGAGTTCTCATCCAAAATTCGTAGACGGGATTGTTGTCCCAGGCGAGGATGTTGAGCCATGAAAATTGCGACCACTCGTTCCTGAATTTGTAGCGAGTTCAAGTAGAACCAAAACTCTCATGATAAGCCAACCTGAAGGTACCATGCAGACCAATCCAGATAGCGAATGGGAGGATTTCGATCTTGTCGAGAATCGGATGGGGAAATAGTCCGAAGAAGGCAGACGATTCCATGCTTTTTAGCTTCTTGTCTAGAGAAGTGACGATCAAATCATGGGGAAAAACAAAACATTCACTATCACTCACGCCACGACAGTCCTTGACTGAAAGTCATGCGACAGATTTGATAGCCCCGCGAGTGCCAGTTCTACCTCTTCATGCTTCACAGTTCCATTCAATGATTCTGTATCAAAACCAATTGTGTTTTCGGATGCCGAAGTGTGGTTCTCTGCGATTACCAAAAAAAATCTTTTTCATGAATGACAAGGATTTTGCATATAACTTACCTGTATCCTTCGAACAATTCTCGTGTGATTTCAGTGCAGCTCTCTCCAAATGGTTTACTTCGTACTTCCTCTCAGCTTGTGAAATCCATTTGGAGAATATCCTTGCATATAACTGGATAACTTGAGCATCGATCAAGCATCGGCGATTGTCGCGACAAACGGAAATATTTGCAAGAGCTTTCAGGCCTTATCATCGCTGGTATCAGATATGAGGAATCAACAAAATCTGACTTACAATCTATTGGTAGGAAAACGATCGAGGGGGTCCCCCATGCCTGTAACCCAGAAGTCATACATATTGCACAGTGTGTTTAGGCTTCTTCGTCACCTCGCCATTCAGAGAGTGGCGCAAAGCATCTGTCGCATCAACAAGCACATCTTTACCCCTGTCGAATCGTCAGCATTTTATCACATGTGTGAGGAATAGGCGATCACATGTGCATTGATGGAAGCTCCCGATGATCAACCAACCGAGCTAGAGCCATCATCGCTGCAAGGCGTGTAGTCTGGCTATAAAGTACAGAAGAGTCCTGCGCCGTCATTGCTTCTTTCAACGCGTCTACTGCTCTTGCTTGTCGCAGCATCGGAACCTGAGAATGCAATATGTGAAAACCTTGGATTGAACAGTCGTAAGCATGCAATGGCATCATCACCACATGTTCCTGATGACAAAACGCTTCTATTACAGAGACGCCAAGGTAGTTGCTCCAGTTGTCTTTGGATATACAGAGTCCTTTGAGTATAGCGAGAACATTGTCCAGTCCGAGTACAAGTTGGGCAGCTTCCTTGTTGTAATAGACGATGTTGCACAAGACACCACTTGCACCGTCTCTCGACTCATCGGATCCAATGTTTAGACCCTCGAGCAACGTTTGTATCATGCCTGGGGTCTCTGCAATTCGAAGACAATTTTCGGCATTGTCGAACGAAATTGACATAAGCGCATTGAGGGCTGCATTCTTGGTATGAATCGATCCCTTGTCCAATGCAACAACAAATGCTTGAAAAAGACCAGGGAAATTTCCTATCATTGCACGGTTCTGAACATGTGCCGCGCAAGGATTATCAAAGGGCCGTTCCGGTTGCGACATCGATAACATGAAGAGAAGATTGCACGCAGCTTGCCTACCGTCATCGTCGTCCGACAAGATGAGTCTGTTTATACCTCTAAGAGTCTTCTCTTGTTTACAAATGCTACTTAGCAGGGAGATGTCTGGAATGGGTTCGCGAGCAATGAGCTGGGAGACTTCTTCTATTGCCTCCAACTGCTCGTCAGCTATTTCAGAATCGATGAGAGCTGCGAGCTCTGCAATTTCCTGATTGGACGACTGCGAATTTTCATCCAAATGGTCTGCCTGAGAGGGCATCGAGAATCAGAGGACGAGCTTTGAACAACAGCAGGTATCGCAGGGTCTGTGTGTGTTCGACGTGTTCACTGGTGAAAGACAAGATCTCCTGCGTTCGACGTGTTCGACTTGTTCGACTTGTTGACAGCGGCGGTGAGTGGATGGATGGGATTGGTTGGAGGAGTGAAAAATGCAGAAGAAATGCAGAGGATGACCTAGGTGAAGAACACAAGACCGACGGTTTGGAAGGACAAAGAAAGGGGGGCGGGTTTTGGTTGATGTTTCGGTAGAGGGAAGGAGAAGGGGTACTGTCGGGGGCCAATGAAACTGCAGGAACGGGTGGGGTGTACAGTACTGTAGAGTATAGGTGGTACAACGAAGATCCAACAGTTTTTAGTCAAAAAGAGGGAGGGGTACTCGGGAAGCCCATATCAGTACTGTATAAGCTGTTCCTACCCCTTCCCCGCACAGTACGACAGAATCTCACGAGCTCACTACCTTTTAAAGGGTGCATGGAAGGACCCACATTTCACGTGCTTACTTCACCCCACCCCCGTCGGTCGCCCGCAAATTCCGAGGAGGGTGGGGGTAAAGGAGGATCGTAGGTCTTATCCCTGTTCGCTTTGTGTCAGGAATGAGGCGTTACCTCGGATCTAGCCAACAGATCGCTCTTGAACCTGCACCTTTCTAGGCTCCGATACCTGCCAAGAGCCTACACTGCCCATGGCAAATGGAAGGAACAGACTTGTCTCATGTTTGTGGGTGAGGTTGGGCTTTATTCCGGTGACTTGAAAGAAGGAAGCGAGGATTTAACGAAGGAAGGAAAGCAAGCTTCGAGACAGAGAGAAGCTTGCTTCGATTCAAGAGAAAGAGTCATTTCACGCACCGTACAACGAGCTTCTGATTTTGATATCGATTTCTTTTTTAAGATGAGATTTACGGTGAAGACACGACATCCCCTGGAAGCAGAACATAGTTGAGAGGACTTATCGCTTGAGTAAAGGGCCCATTCAAGATGTGCCTAGGCCAGCACCCAGTGTAGAATGCACTCCTCTAGATTCTCATTTCTTCAAACCCCGGCTGTGCTCAGTCTGATAGGTTGGACTAGATACTAGATCGTGTCTTCACTGTGACTATCCTCTCAAAAAGTCACTCAGACTCAGAGGACGATGTCACTTGAAGCTGCAGGCACAAAAGAATCAGTGTGCAACATATCCACAGCTTGTTTGCATCTGGCAGCGAAGGGAGGCTCATCATCACATATTTGAGGCATTGAATACGCGTTTGGAAATGAAGATGCAACAGTTGCCTGTTACCATGGTGGGATAATGGCACCCCAAAGCAGTCTTTCACTCTATCTCACTCTCTGCTTGGCAAAGCTGCTGCAATGCTTCCGAATGAGATTCACGCCGGGCCGGGCCGCTTCACTCAGGACTGGGAGTTTCAACTTCGGAACGCAGCGGTGCAGTCAGCCTACCGCTGCACCGGCGGTGCAGCCGCTGAGCCGCTCAGTCAGCGCCGCTCGGACTCTATGCAAGGCTCGGATACTCACGGTGACTGCTCAAGTGCACCGCTCTCAGAGTCCCAGGCCGTTGAAGCCTTGCCGTCATCCGGTGTCAGGGAGTAGACTCTGCAGAATCACGAGTCATGATGATCTCAGCCTAGGCTGAGTGAAGCAGAGACTCGGCGAGTAGAAATATCACAGCGCTTTAGATAGCACGCACGGGAGCTGAAGAATGACCAAGTGGAAAGCTTAGAAGTGAGATTAAACTTCATGTTCACTTGAAGAACCGTTGCTACAAACACGGCACACAGGTCACTGAGAACTTCCGAACTCTTCCCTGTAGTTGTCTCGACCCCGGCCCCGCCGGGTTCTTGACAGCGCATGCCGCAGTGTTCTCCGGGCCCCGGCACCAAAAGGATATTCGTGTTATAATCCGTTCCCGGGAAGTTCAAGCATAACAAGCCTCCTCGACTCTCGGAGGCTGATTGTCCTCGTACAGGCTGATTTTTAACTCACGCGGCTTCAAGTTTGATTAAAGATCGGACTGCTCAGGACGGTCGACTCTTTCAACCGACATCCCGCCGGCGCTGTTAGTACAGGCACCGGGCCGTTAGTACAGGCACCGGCGGGCCGTTCAAGGTTAGTACAGGCACCGGACCGTTCCGTGACGGTCACGGTCGCCGGGACCGTGCGCCGCGGGTGGCCGCACGTGACAGTCACGTCACAGAGTCACAATGATGCGCCGGGCCCGGCCACTCGGAGACACATTGAACCCGGCGTTGAACACTCAGTGACCCGGCCCGCGCGGCGTGCACTGAGCCGGGCTGCGCTGACGGCCGGGACGGTGCCCGGCAGCCGCCGCGGCCGCCGGGCCGCCGGGCTTAGCCTGGCCCGGCCCCGGACCCCGGTAACGGCGCTTCAAGTCAGTGAACGCCGCCGGGTCAGTGACCCTTCAAGGCTTGAACGGGCCGGGCCGCCTCCGGCGGCGAGCCTCTGTTCACTGATCGGATCGATGATTCACGGTCCGAGTCACGTACCGCCGGGCCCAGGGTCACTCAGCGGCCAGGGGCCAGGCTCCGGCGTAGCGGCCTACAGCGGCCGGGCCACTGCCACAGCGGCCCGGTGCGGCGGTCACCGGGCACTCTCGGCCCACTTTTTCCCGTCGGATCGTTCGGGTGCCGGTGCCACGGTCCCCGACGGATCATCTCAGTCCCGGCCGCCGGATCCTGGCCTCGCCGCGGCCGGGCCGGGACGACCGTCATGATCCGAGCAGCGGCCCCGGCCCGGAGTGCCCCATGTGGGCGGCCGGCGGTCGGGCGGCAGCGCGGGCGCTGCCGGGCTTCGCTTTTACTGCCAATGATGTCCGCAATACAATGGTTGGGTCGGCGAGGAGGACAAGGACGGAGAGTAGCACAATGCTCAGGGGCTCCTGTTCACATCGGCTATGCTTCTTGGCTACAGACCTTCGTCTCTATCGCTTTGTTGCCCGTCATACTGTCTACTTCTCTTAAATCTATGGTGGAGAAGAGGAATATCTACAGGGACACTATGCAACGTCCAGGTCTTCTGCGACTGAGAGGAGGGCAAGATCGATCATCCCTGTTTGAGCCACACTTCATGCTTCGAGTTAAATGTGCAAACAGCAAATGGGGCGAGACAGGTTAGATATGTAGACCAAACCTAAGATCAAGTTGACAATGTGCAGTGGGTGTTGTTGGAAATAGTGCCAGTCTAGGGACATGGAGCTCCCCCATGGCGATGCGATGTGATGGCTCGGTAAGTTCGACACCTTTGCGCCACATGACTGAACCTATCGTGTCCTCAAGTGGCCCCAATGGAGAGTGGAGCTGCCCTGCCATCAAGGAGTGGACGTGATGGAGTATAAGTTCGTCAAAATGAATGATCATGGCCAAATCATTGAATGGGAGCCTGTGGAAAGCAATAGGTACTTTAGCAATGCTTCTTCAAATGAGAGTGAATTCGTTATTTTCTAGGCAACTTCTTCTCTTGAGCAATCTTGAGGGCAAGAGCGTAGACGATGGAGAGTATGGAAGAGTCTCTCGGATGGAAGTATGCACTTCGTGTCAATTGTTGCATGAATCAGGTTTACAGCTTAATTATCCCTTTCAGGCAATAATACAGGAACAAGTACGAGCGAAGGAGGCTGTTTACGCGGTCGATGAAGGTCTTTCTAATGAGCCAGTAGCTCCCTTACTTCTTTGCTGTCAGAAACGCAACCGCATGCCAATGACAAAGATGAAATTTTTTTGAAGAGAGCAAAGAAGAACAATGACAACCTCAAGGAGCAGGATGAGGAGGAGGCAGCCAGGAAGAAGGCGAAGGAGGAGGAGGAGGAGGCAGCCAGGAAGAAGGCGAAGGAGGAGGAGGAGGCAGCTAGGAAGAAGGCGAAGGAGGAGGAGGAGGAGGCAGCCAGGAAGAAGGCGAAGGAGGAGGAGGAGGAGGCAGCCAGAAAGAAGGCGAAGGAGGAGGAGGAGGAGGCAGCCAGGAAGAAGGCGAAGGAGGAGGAGGAGGCAGCCAGGAAGAAGGCGAAGGAGGAGGAGGAGGCAGCCAGGAAGAAGGCGAAGGAGGAGGAGGAGGAGGCAGCCAGGAAGAAGGCGAAGGAGGAGGAGGAGGCAGCCAGGAAGAAGGCGAAGGAGGAGGAGGAGGCAGCCAGGAAGAAGGCGAAGGAGGTTTCAGTAGGGGAAGTGTCGTCTGGAGCATCTTTGGATGAATCAGCTAGAATGTATAGTTCAAAGCAAGAGATGTCCTTGGTAACTTCCTTGTCGATGTGTATTCAATTTGCTTCTGATTATTTTGGCTTAGTTTCATGATGAAAGGTTGAAGGAGGAGGTGGTAAGATTACTTGCTTCCTGCATGCCATGTGAATTAATTTTGCCCCTCTTCCGATTGGCAAGGAAAACTCCCATGCGGTTAGAGCTTTTGATTCATCGATTAGAATGACCGTCTTAAGACGTATTCTAGGATGAAGTCAGGGTGGCCGAGTTACAGAGACAAAAGATTGAGGGCAGGATGAAGAAGGCACAACCCATGGTATCCCATTGCGACCCCTATCTCTGCTTGTGCTCCCTCACTTCACTCTCAAATTCATTTGTGTTTCTTTCATTTCTCATTTTTTTTTCAAGAACAAGAGAGGCTCGGATTTGCCATCGCTGAAGGTTATTATCATTGGTCTTCCTCTTGATTGCAATCATTGTGATCGTCCAATCGATAGAATCGCATCCCGCGTGTTGTGGACGAGGTATAAGGCGATCAGTTTGTTTCCCCGAACTTGGCGAAAAGACTTGACCTTACGGACAGGTGAGAACTGAGAGCCCAGGGCGCAGAGTAGCAAGCATTTCTCCCGTCAAGGCTGCTGGTATCAGCACGGTCCGAACAGGTGAGTGACCACCTCGGGATCATCTGCACCTCACGACATTCGAAGAACAATCGCACGCCATCTCAGACGTGGCTCAAATCGATTCAACTGCAACAAAGAAGACAGTTAGAAGAAGGAGCGGGAATGCCTCGAAATCTCAGCATAGATCGTGAGGCTGTCAATTCCCTCAGAAAGCAGACAAACCGAATTGTGAATTGCTCGATCTGTCGCAGTCAGGCCAAGAGGGAGAGTTCATACCACTGCTTTCTACAAGTAATGTTATAGTGATGAAAGTCTACAGCATGCCGACATTTTACTTTCACTGTATTGATAGTATCACTCCGATCTCCTTATATCATGAGGTGTATTTGAACAGATACATCCTTGCTAGTCGAGAGCCAGTACTACAAGAAGATCCCCTGGTTGCCACTTCCTTGGCACACCCTTATCACTTGGGTTCAATACTGTCTTGCATTCAGGAAATGTCTCATTGACAGACTTGAATCCAAGCAAAACTTCTCTGCGTTCTCTCACTCTCACAGATAAATCCCAGAACGAGAATTTATCCGACCTCTTGATATCGACGTAGTCTTCGACTTGGCGCAAGTATAATTCAGTTCCGTCTGCTGAAAGCAGCTCCGATAGGATCATGTTCAAGTCACGGCATTCAGCAACTTGTGCAATAACAGCACTTACGATTTGATTGGACATCACGTAACCCTTGCAATTCACAACACTTAATAAACTTCGAGTTCGACTGTCAAGAATTTCACTAATCGGATCCTTTGCCCGGAGTGAGTTGGCCTCATCAATTTTTCCTTCAGCGATTAGCTCTTGCTTGCGTTTCTCCAGTAATTTTGACTGAATGTCTTGAATAATCAACAAACTGGCCAATGATCTACTGTCTGACGTCTGAATATTTGTTTGATCGGCATGATCAGCCAAAATCAACAGAGAATCAAATTGGTCTACAGTGATTTCATCCCCCGAATAAAAAGAGTTACCATCCCTATCCACACGGACTTCTTTGATAACCATCAGATCACGTCTGATAATAGGATTTCCGACTGCATTCTTGATCACAAGATTCTTACATTTGAGCTCATCCTTGTTTCCCTTATCTTTCAAAAGCTCTACTCGCTCCTCGACTGGAACCGTATTGAACAGCCATAACTCACTGCCAGAAGTGACATATGCATCCAGTTGCATGATCATATCTGCCATGTCACGGCGCCATCCACAGAAAAGCATTTTTTCCGTTTTCATCGGCAGCCTCTGCGGTACAGAGGAAACGTTCTTTTTCACTTTGTATGTACCATCATTCACGGTGTACGAATCGTTATCCTCCGCGAGAACTATGATCTGATCACCTTGTTCAATTCGCAAAGTGCTCAGAGGATTCAAGAGAACTCTTCCATCAACGCTCTTTTTTACCCCAATCGGAATTGCGTCATCAAATCTGCAGATTATGTCGCTGAATTGAAGCCCCTCAAGCTGTGGCCAATTTTCCAAATAAAACTCTGCACCTTCAAATCCCATCAAGCTTTCCAAGATGTATGCAAGCCCTGGCTGACGCGCGCATTGTATCATCAACCTTCCAATAATGTCGTGTGCAACGATGACTTCCGCAATGTCCACGGCGACAAGATTGACCAATTCTCGGTTATCTACGTCTTGCATCTCCACAACAACATGGCCTGCAAGGTTTTCCATTCCTTTTAGCGACAGAACCTGCCTGACCATTCTCGAATCAGACTCATCTGGAGAAATATTGTCCGAAGCAAGCATAATGATACTCCTTGCAGAAAGCACACCAACTTTCAACAGGTCGTATTGTACCAAAGGGTTCCCACTGCGGAAAATCACTTCTGTACCCATCAGATTCAACGCATTTTCACGACTTTCGATAGCAGATTCCAATGTATCTTCCAAATCATTTTTGTCGTGCTCTGCGAGAACTACAATAACTCCACCTCCTTCACTCTCATTCGCAAATGCAATCTGCTGGATAATTGGAAGGCTTTTATCGTTCCATCCCAGCATCAAGGTATGTCCACATTCTATCACTCTACTCTTGCCTTTCTTCAGATTATCGACTTGCTCTCCAATAGATTCTGAGATGATTCCGATCATCAACGCGAAAACCAACATCCCGCCAATCGTGACACAGAAGGCAATAATTCTCTCAAGAGTTCCTTCAGTGTCTGCGTGGGTACCTGGGTCAGCAACATATGTCCACGACTTCCAAAGAGTAACAGATATGTCCTCTCCAGTCGATATGAGTAAAATGAATCCACCGAGTACAATCAGGACAAACGTAACCATTAGTAGCAATACTGGCTTTGCGAATTCACTATTTGTGAAGTGATAATCTAGCCGATATTGCAATAATTCGCTGAGCGTGAATTGCATGGAAGTTACCTTTTTTTTGCGGATAAATGTGCAGTATTCGTTGTAGAGGAACCTCGAAATGTAGCCGCAACCAGAAAATATAAGCAACATTGTAAGGTACGGGGGTCCAGCCTCCATCTCCTTTGGCTGGTTTTCACAATTCCTCTCTGGAAGCAATCTATCGTTGTGTTTTGATGATTTGTCTTCGACCAGTCTTTCGTTCTCTAATTCAAGCTTGGCAAGTCGATCATTTAGCAACGCATTTGAATAATATGCTCCTACGACAACAGCTGTGTACGCAACTATCAAACAAGAAAGTACAAAGAAAACTCTTGGTTTCTCAAACATGAGTCCTCCAATCTGTAATTTGGAGAAAAACGAAAGGAAACTCGTCACAGGTCGCAGAAGTGAAACTACACTCATACCTCTGATTGAAGCGATTGTTTCTTAGGGTCATTCTTTTCTGATTTGCAGTCGGCATCAACTTGAAAAGAAGCCATCACCCTTCGCCCCCTGTACGAGGATGCTAGCAGCGAGACAGGAGAGGAAACCTGAGGCAAATGACAATCAGGACGAGCTATGGAATAAGAGGATGATTGTCCGAGTTGGATGGAAATCAACCAGACATTTTGGATTTGAGTGAGAAAATCTTGAAACAAATCAACATTGTCATGTAATGCTCAACGACATAAAACAGGCATGTAGCTGATGACTGTGTGAACTCACTTGTGTGTTGCTACTGCGATCTTTTTCTTGCTTTTTTTTCTTGCTTTTTTTTCTTCTTCTTTCCCCCTCACGCTAATAACAATCACGCGTTTCTAACACGATGTTCTCGGGGTGGGGTGTATACCCCACCCCTGCCAATCAGAGTACCCCCTAAAATTAAAGAAAACCGATCAGAGGCCACAGGTAGAGCTTGGAGGGTGGGTGTCCTGACATGTTTGAGTGGGCAGGGTAGGGTCAGCAGGGACGTGTTTCATCAAAGTGGGTGGGTACTAGAAGCCCGCGGCACTCCGCTGGTGAGCTGTCACCCCCTCCTACCCCACCCGTCCGCAAGGCTACAAGAAAGGAGTACAAGACTGTGTGGGTACCCCTCCACCACCCTTTAAGTTAAACACCGTACTGTACTTCACTCAAAGTTAAGTTAAAAATCAGTACGTGAAGGAGAGGCTGACTCGGAGACTCGAGCCTGAGGCTCCCGAGCCGGGCCCCGGCGAGCGGCCTGACCCTGCAGAGGCTGCCCGTCACACTCAGACTGCTCTTTACTCAAAGCTCGGTGGGCTACCGAGCTTTGAGTAAAGCCTAGTAACTGATACCTTCACTGCCCGGCAGGCTTACCAAGTTCGCCGGCTTGACCCTGACCGGGCCGGCGTACGGTACCGTCAGTTGATCGCCGAGCGGCGGCAAGTGACTGAAAAGATCTGATGATCGGACAGTGAGAACTCGGAACCGTAACCCGGCCGCAGGCTTATCCCGGCTGCCGACTGCTCAGTGTCCCCCCCCAAACTTAACTGATCATGGCGCCCGGCCCGGGCCAGATACCTTCACCGTCAGCCCCGTGTACGGTACATGATCACCGGGCCGGGCCTCCCCCCTCCCGGGCCCCGAGTGGGCCAGCCCGGCCGCGGTCACGGTTGAACCTTTGTTCAAAACTCACTGAGTTGACTGACTCAGCGCACGTACGGTCTAACTTGCGGCCCTTTACTCACTCAGCGGCCGCTGGAAAAAAAAAAACAGTGACGTCGGAGAGTAGAGGAGGCTTGACCCTGTGCGACATACGGCGAGAAGAGCCTCGGAGAAAAGACAACCCGGCAGAACCAACCCTCATCCTACTATCCGATTCCCGATCGGACACACTACTGCTGTGACCGTACGGTAACCTTGAGTCAAACTTGGGAAATAGGCCGGCGCGCTGAGCTCCGCGGCCCGGGCCGCCGCCCGCCGGCGCCCTCCGAGCCGGCCCTGAGTGCAGATGAAGGTCACAAGGTTTCTTACAATTGTGACCGTAGCACTGCCGGGCTGCGGCGGCCGCGTGAGCGGCGACTCCGATACGGTGCTCGGATGATCCCGGCGATAGTATCCCGGTCGGATGCCGGGGCCAGCCAGTGAATTTAACCGTGACTTCAAACGATGTCTTTGCACGGGGCCGGCCGGGCCACCCGGTGAGTAGCCCAGGCCCTCAGCCGGGCTCGGACTCGGTGGCCGCGTGCCACGGTGACCCGGCGCCGTCGGACTCCCGGCAGGCACGGTCCGATCCGGCGGCCGGGGCGCCGGCCGGGTCACGGGTCTGGCATGCGGCACAGACTCCGACATACAAGCCTCTGAAACTCGCTGTTACATCCCTTTCTCATTGTATGCTGAGTTCTGAATCGACACTGCACAAACCTTGAATCAAGGGCTTGAATGATTCTAGCTCTCTTCTTGCAGCTTGAAGCCTGAGGATGCCAAATTTGAAAGTTCCCTACAGAAGGAGTGAAGTGGAAATCCCATCACCTGCCACAAAGACTCGTGACACTACAACCAGAGAAAAGCAAGAAGGAATTAGGATTCGGATAGACACGGAGCTAGACTTAGAATAACAGTATGGCCGACAAGTCGCTATGAGCGTACATTGTAATAGCATCCACGTATTCCTTTCACAAAACATCCACCGAGAGATTGGATCCCATATGCTCCAGCTTTATCCATGGGTTCGCCTGAATCAATGTATGCCTGCAATATGATAAGTCGTAATAATGTTTCAATTTGCCATTGTTTTCACATTGATATCAGCATCTGTCAAATCAGCGAAAGAAACGCTCGTTTCCTCTACGAAACAATGCTCCTTAAGCTCTTCATTCTCACAATATCTTGGAAACGAAGGTGAGGAAGTCTTGACTTGTAGCAACAAGGCATATCACATTAGCGTCACTCCTGTGTAAACTTTATGCTCATTCCCGCTCAACATCCTTAGCATGCGGAATGCATGTGCATTGTCCTGTCCAGCTTGTTGAGAAAAAGAACAGCGATGATTAGCTCATACAGATGGTTTTTCAAGAATTTCTCCAGCGTAGACGACCACCTATTCGTCAATACTCGTTTCAAATACAGTCATCACAAATATCGCAAATATGACCGTATCACCACCAACAACCATGCCTGGTCGATCTCCAAAGGAGCAGAGCCTGGTATAAATTCACAAGAGGCTATCTGGCATGGGGCTTTGCAGCACAAGCGAATCATACAAATCTACCTTTTCCAAACCTCCAATGATTTTTGCCTTGCGTTTTCTATCACATAACCTTGGGGCGAATATTTTGATTTGTCAAGGTTCTCCTCGAAGGTCGATGGAATTACTCTGACATTCAATCCAAGAATGTTTGATAAGATCTCCTTTCTACGAGGTGAGTTTGAAGCTAGAACGAAATCTACCTGTTTCAAACTTTTCAAACGATCGAGGATCATTGAGACTTCTCCTGTCTTTGTTGTACAACGGATTGAACAGGACAATCGTGGGAAATGTCCAGAAGGATTCAGAGCAAAGGGGAGCACAGAAGGGACGTGAGCTAGAATAGAAGCAACGGTCAGCAAGGACAACTTTGCGATGCTAGAGCGCCCCGGCTGTGTCCTCATCGCACCACTTATTAGTGCCGTTATAAAAATAATTCTGGTGCTTTGAGTGAAAGGTATCAACTGGTGGTGATCGCTGATGAGTGTACTCTACCGCGGCCCGGCCGGTCATATTAATAATAACAAATATTTAAAAGAGGTATATATTCTATATATTTATAAAAATGATACGTTAAAAAATTTTTAAAAGAGTTTTGACTTCAAATAGGTGGTAGGCTAGAGGAAGTTGGTAGAAACGCCAATCGTAGTCCGAAGATTTCAGAAAATAACATCTACAATTGTTTAGTACGTGTGGAGTAATAATCAGATAAAACTCAATTTATTATCCATTAACGTCTGGGCGGGCCCGAAAAGGTTGGGCAGTCGTAGCCGGAATGGGGGAGGCGAGGGGCAGGGGTACTTGGAACCGATGATGAGGTAGGTAGTTGCAGTGAGGGGTGGTCCGCACAGGGGTAAAACCTATCAAAGGCGTCGCAGGGGTCAAACGCTGGGGGTGGAATAACCTTTCACTCGGTTAATAGGCCTTTCCTCAAGATAGAGGTTTATCAAGGGTTATACCTAGAATTGGCTAATAATAGATTTATTGGATATGGAGGGTTGTAGAGAATGGGGTGGGGTGGGATGACTCATCATAATGGACGGTGGTGCTTGACGATCGTGGGGTGGAGGGACGATGAGACGTAAAGGCTGGGTTGTAAGAACGGGTTATGCACCTGAAGGTAGGGGGTGTGTATTCCTCGGTACCAATTGCACAGAGGGGTAAGGTGGTGGTGAAGAGAAAAGGAAGGTGGGGTAGTTTGTTCATGCCACCAGGGTGGGTGAAACAACGTTCCGCCGGCGGATATTCGCTATGCAGAGGATTGAAGGAGATACCGTAGGACGACCATGATGCAGGAATGAGGACAAAGCGTGGACAACCATACGAGATTGATATGTAAGGTTGTATTTGCAAGATCGAGCAGGTTCGGATCGATATAGTCAAAGACAGAGCGAAAGAGAATGGTCGAACAATGTAGGTCAGGAATGTGGAATCTTAACCTAAAGAAGATTCATTTCCTTGGTATGATCAGATTTTGGTGCAAGGGACTTCTTATATTTTAGATAGGTATGTAAAGAATTTCGAAACAAGATTTATGTGCAATAAGTGCCATCGTAGGGTCTGAACGAGTCGATATGCTTCAGAAACGAAAGCTTGTTTTGCTGTGTAAAATCTAGGTTGGCTGATGGGCATTTATGATAATTGGATATGCTAGCATTTCCCATGATTGTGAGGTTGATATGCAAGAGCTTGTGATCAGCTTGTGCACAAATCACGATTTGTGAAAATCGAAGTTTTGACGTTCACAATGCTCTCGTCTTTCATTTTGTATTCGTGGCTAGGAATGATCAAGACTTTTTGGCAGTCATCGGAATTTGCTCAAGCTGGTCAATATTTTTGCAGGCGGTGACGACAGCTGATAGAATGTATGTCCTTCAAAATTGGATTATTGAAGCATCTGATTGTGTCATCAATACAGAAAGAAGCGGCCCTACAATTTTTTGCAAAGATGATGAAATTATTCAAAAAACCGAGTACTAAAGCTTCTCATGCTGACGAGCTTCCTGTGAAGCTTAGTGAGGAATTTGTGAAAGAGGAGGAGGCAAAAAGGATGGAGCTGAAAGGATGCTCCTTCGCTGACTTCGAAGTCAAAAAAACACTAGGTATCTTTAACTATCTCCGATACTTTGTTACTGATGCATTTTTCGAAAGGAACTGGCTCATTTGGTAGGGTCAGATTAGTGAAACACAAGAAGTCTGGTCGTGTATATGCGCTGAAAATGCTGTCCAAGGCGCTAGTTTTGAGAACAAAGCAATTGGACCATGTTTTGTGCGAGAAAGAAGTTTTAGAAGCCCTCTCTTTTCCATTTATAGTGAATGTGTAAGATTCACAGGATACAGATTTTTTTTAGTTGATTTTTCAAACAGGTATGCTTCTTTTCAGGACGAGTTGTATCTGTATCTTGTGCTTGAGTATTCCATCGGAGGTGAATTTTTTACACACCTGAGGAAGGCAAACAGATTTCCAAATGATACTGCAAGGTAATTTACTTGTAAGTTACGAAGAAATAGATTTTTGACTCTTCTTTGCTCAGATTCTATGCGGCTGGTGTGATTTTGACTTTCGAATATCTTCATAATCGCAATATTGTTTACAGGGATTTGAAGGTAACTTTGTTTTTGGGGACTATGCAATTTGAGCAATGTATAGCCTGAAAACTTGCTCTTGGATGCACATGGACATTTGAAAGTTTGCGACTTTGGATTTGCGAAGACTGTGGAACCTGGAACCAAGTGAGTATTTGGAAAGTCCTTCCTTTCAATTTCCTTCCTGTGTATGTTTCATGATGCTAACCAACGTCATGGCGTGTAACCCATTGGTTCTTACTTTGGAACCCAGTACGTGGACACTCTGTGGGACTCCAGAGTATTTGGCTCCAGAAATCATCTTGAATAAGGGGCATGGAAAGGCTGTAGATTGGTGGGCGCTCGGAGTTCTAATATTTGAGATGCTTGCTGGATATCCTCCATTCTATGCCGAGGACAGGATGCAACTCTACCAAAGCATTTTGGCTGGCAAGATTGACTATCCGCGGCATATCAAGAAAGAAGCCAAGTATGTTTCTGTTCCCAAATTGCGAGTTGATTTATTTTTAGGGACCTTATCTCTCGTTTACTGACCTCCGACCTTTCTCGCCGGCTTGGCAACTTGAAGGGAGGAGCCCTTGATATTCGTACACATGCTTGGTTTAAGGTCAGCTTAGTCCAACACATATCAAGGTGAAATGAATGCAGGGATTCGACTGGGAGGCGTTAATCAATCGAACCATGTCTGCCCCTATTTCTATCAATGTTCGTAGTGCCGACGATGCTTCGATGTTTGATGACTACGATGACGACGATGGTATTGTTGTTCGCTATATCGCTTTTGGTGCTTTTCTCAAAGTTTTGTTCAGGTCCTGACATAGGTGCTGGAAAAGTCCGACCTGATCAGCAACAGCTTTTTGCAGGATTCTAAGCATGGTTAATCTCAAGAACGTCACATGATCGCACAGCCGAAGTAATTTATTGTTGATATATTAACTGGTCAATCAATGGACAACATCTTTCCTTTCCTCCGACTCAGATACACTGGCCATAGTGCCAACAAAAGTTCGCGAGTGGTGTTTCACTGCTTCTCCACCCTCATTTTCGGTCCGACCCTCAATCTCACCCGCAATCTCGCTCGCTCTTTTAGTTCCGAGTTCCTTGTACGTGTATGGTTCATGCGACGCATGCAGAAAAGCTTGGCTGAGATGTTGACATCGGCTTGTTTGCAGCGCATGGGTGGCGGTGGCCCCTTGGCAATGTGAGGGAGGAGCCTCATTTCTTGATACAACACGCGACATCGGTCCGAGCCTGGCCGTATCCAACTGGACATTTCGTGAAGAGTTATGAAAAGCTCTGAAAGTTCTTACTTCAAAGACAATGACTGGGGTGATATTTCGAGCTTTTCGTGCGTTCGACGCTCAAATCGAACAAAGCAATGTCAATGATAATGGCAGCCTGCTACCTCACAGGCACGAAATGAGTGGCGAGTGCACAATAGATATGAGACCTCTGAGAGGGTTCTCGCAGGTTTTGTCTTAAATCCAAGGTAAGCTTCGAATCTTATTACTTCGAATCTTCTGACATTACCCTTTAGTGCGCTTCAGTACACTGGTACACTAAACCAATTTATGCTTTTTTCCACGGCACCCTTTTCAACGTGGAGGACCCGATGAATGCAATCTGGTTTGACGCCTCTCAAGAAATATACCCCGAAGACAGACATGGATTGTTTAGATCTCAACGGTAGACGGATTAAACTGGTTTGTCACAGTGAACGGGCCTGTATCTCCTTCTGACCGAGGAAGGAAAGAACAATATGTAGTTTGCTTTCCCGGTTTATCATGCCATTGGAAATTGCTCTGTAATGATTGCTTTGAACATCTGAAATAAATCCCACTGAGCATACATGCCTACTTCCTTTCTCAAGGTTCTATGAGCGTCGGAATTCTCTAAATCTGCACCCGAGCTGCTAGCCTACACCGGAGCGTGAGATCTCAGATATGTACGGAGAGAGCGAGAGAGCGAGAGAGCGAGAGAGCGAGAGAGCGAGAGAGCGAGAGAGCGAGAAAGACAGGGAAATGCAGGTAGGTCACGAAGAGGCTGAAACAGAAAGACAGGCGGGAGTGAGGAACGATATCTTGCGCTTGCCATGGCAGTTGCACTTGCTGGTAGGCAAAGGAGGAGGAGGAGGAGCGCGTGGAGGAGAAAGTTGAATGAATGAGGAGGCTTTCTCCCACTCCTTTGGGATTACCAATCTCCTGCGATTTCAGCATAGGTTCAAAAGAAGATAAAAGAGGTTACGAGAATGGTGTGAGAATTTCGCCAACAAGGCAAGCCAAGGTAAGGCAAAATCATTGCCCTCTTTCTCCTTCTCCTTCTTCGTCCTTCTTGCCCATCCCCTTCCATCTCCCTCTCCTCTCTTTTCATACACTCCCTCCTCCTCACAATCTCTACCCCTCGCTCTCTCTTCTCCCTCTCTTCTACTTCTCTATTCTCCCTCCCTCACTCTCTCATCCTTCCCCTTTCTTCCCCTGTTCTCTCGTTTTCTTGCTCCCTCACTCTCCCTCTCCATCTGTCTGCCTCCTCTCCCTTCTCCCTTTCTGCCTCTCTCTCCTTCTCTCTCCTTCTCCTCTTATCTCTCACCGTCGCTCGCTCGCTCTCATGCCTTCGCTCTCTCACTCGCTGTCTATCTATCGTTCTATGGGAAGTCTTCCACGCGCACTGTTTCTTTCGTTTCCTTTATCTTCCTTCCCTCCCTCGCTCCCTCCCACTCCCGAGCGAGAGAGACAGAGAGAGAGAGACAGAGAGACAGAGACAGAGAGAGAGAGAGAGAGAGAGAAAGAGCGAGTGAGGGAGTGAGAGGGAGTGAGAGGTTCTCTTTCTTCCTCCCTTTCTGTTCTCCTCAGAGAGAGAGTGAGTGAGTGAGGAAGAGAGAGAGACACACACACACACAGACAGAGAGACAGAGACAGAGACAGAGACAGAGAGACAGAGACAGAGACAGAGACAGAGAGAGAGAGAGAGAGAGAGAGAGAGAGAGAGAGAGAGAGAGAGAGAGAGAGAGAGAGAGAGAGAGAGGCAGAGAGAGAGACAGACAGAGAGACAGAGAGACAGAGAGACAGAGAGACAGAGACAGAGACAGAGACAGAGACAGAGACAGAGAGAGATACAGAGACAGAGACAGAGACAGAGACAGAGACAGAAATGGTAGAGGGGCAAAGACAGAGACAGGGAGAATCGGAGTGAGAGAGAAGTAGAAAGGCTGCAAGTATCAACCGATGTCTACCTACATCGCTCCCACTGACTCCGACGGGCCGGCCGGGCAGTCAAAGGAGGATGAGATTTACTCTCATAGTTTATTGCTCTTCTCGCCGTTTGGCCAGTGCGACAGTGTCAGGGTCAAGCCTCCTCGACTCTCCTGATTATCCTCGTACTGATTTTTAACTTAACTTTGAGTAAAGAAGTTTATCAGGGTGGTACCTGAGAGCCAACCGCCGTTCTTCCAGGCGTTAGTCCGTCTCGGAGTCCCCGGGGGGCTGGGCTGGAACCGCTAACCCGATTGAGTGAGCATGCCAAATCAACAAATCAGGCTGAGGCATTGGCAGCCAGATGATTTCAACATGCCGGGGGCCGAAGCCTTCAACATCACTGAAGCCTTCCGGGCCGGGCCGCGGCCGTCGGGCCGCCCCGGCGGCCCGCCGATGGCACGGATCATAGTAACTTCGAGTCTGGATGGTCTCCGTCCTACTTTCCTGTGCAGTACGGTGCCATGATTGTCCACGTGAAACCGCAGGGCAGGGCCCGGGCAGTCCGCCGACAATGACTCAATGACTCTATGACTCAATGACTCAATGACTCCATGACTGAGCCTCTTACGCCGGGTGACTCGGTAGGCCTGAGGCAAAGGCTCAATGACTCAATGAATTATGGTGACTCAGTTGGCCTGAGGCCTGAGGCCACGGCTAGACCGTGTGACTGAATGAGCGCCGGACAGACTCAGTACTGACTCAATGACGCAATGACTTCATGACTCAATGACTCAATGACTCTATGACATGACTCCATGACTCCATGACTCAATGACTCTATGACTCTATGACTCTATGACTCAATGACTCTATGACTCTATGACTCTATGACTCTATGACTCTATGACTCTATGACTCTATGACTCAATGACTCTATGACTCTATGACTCTATGAGACTCTATGACTCAATGACTCTATGACTCTATGACTCAATGACTCAATGACTCAATGACTCTATGACTCTATGACTCTATGACTCTATGACTCAATGACTCTATGACTCAATGACTCTATGACTCCATGACTGAGCCTCTTACGCCGGGTGACTCGGTAGGCCTGAGGCAAAGGCTCAATGACTCAATGAATTATGGTGACTCAGTTGGCCTGAGGCCTGAGGCCACGGCTAGACCGTGTGACTGAATGAGCGCCGGACAGACTCAGTACTGACTCAATGACGCAATGACTTCATGACTCAATGACTCGTACGGTGACTCGGTAGGCCTGGTTTCAGCAAGACCATCTCCGTCAGCATGAAGTCCACGGTGCTGAAGAGGGAGCAGCTGCCGGCGTCCTGCAGTGCAAAGGTGCAGTCCTGCGAGGAGGAGCAGCTGCAGATCTCACTCATCGCCTCGGAGAACATTGCGACCGCCCTGCGATCCTCCCCAGTAATGCATCTCCCGGACGGGGCAGGCCCACCAGTCTGCGACCCCGTTGCCCGAGGGGCTGTAGTCGCTGCGCGAGTCGATGTCGTAGGTCTTGAGCCAGTCCATGGTCTCGGTGCTTGCAGCCCTCGGCATGCACTTGGGGAGGAGGTTGTAGGTGGAAGAGGCCCTGTCTCTGGGTGCAGGTGTCGTTGCTCCTTATCCCCGGCTTGCAGAGGTTGTTGGAAGTTCCTGCTGACGGCATTGAGCGTGATCCACAGAGGGAGGATAGTGCCAAAGGTGGTAATCTGCTTCGCCAGCAGTGGTGCACCAGCCGGAACGCGTCCTTGTGGGTGTAGCCAAGGGCCTTGCTGCTGCATGAGGTCAGGCCGATCAGGTGTTGCGGTCCGATCCGTCTTGTTGCTAAGGATGACGGAGATGGCGTGTACGAGCACGTCGGCCATCCTCACGTTACAGGTCCCTCCCAGGTGGTGTTGACATCCAGTTCGTTATCGAGGAAGCGAGCCGTGAAACTAGGATGACGTCGAGGCT